CTTTTGCTTACCGTTGATGTAGATGTAGCCACCTTCGCCTGGGTACACACCCGCACCGGCGTAGACGGAGTTCTCGTTCTGGTACACCTGAATCACATTGTCAAGGCCATTAGCACCGTTACGGTAGCCACCCAAGTCGTCCAAGTTGAGCCAATACGTCTTGCCACTCTTTCCAGTCACCACACCAATGCGCTTTACGTCGCCACAGGAGAACGTGCTGGGCAGAATCTGCAGGGGACTCGTTCCCAAGTCCTTGTCGGCGCCGTCCAGAGCTTGCTTCTCCCATGGCATGAAGAAATCGACCAAGCTCAAACTTCCATCGGCGTTGATTGTCATGTGAACAGCGGCTTCTTCCAGAGATGTCGGGGGCGTGCGGCCGTTGACGGGAATGGTGCTGAGCTGGGAGGCGTATCCGTTACCAGTAGCGTAGAACAAAGAACCTGCATCATCGGAAGCGAGACCGCCGCCAGACATCCAGACACCACCGCCCTTGACATCCACGGGGACACCGTCACCTTCGGTAGCGAAACGCTCGACGTTGGCACCACTGGTCTTGTCGAAGCCCATAATCCAACCTGTGAAGTTATATTGAACACAGTGAGAAGCAAAGCCAGCATAGATGTAGTTGCCGACGTGCAAAAGAGCAGGTCGCTGATGATGAATACCGCCATTAAAAGAGCGAATAGGGTTGTTCCTCGCTACGGTGCCTTCGAGGTTGACGGGGAAGTTGGGTTTCTCGCTGAGGTCGTTGACGTCCAGGGCATGAAGGTAGTAACGGCCAGCAGGTTTTCCTTGAGCAACGCCGGTCAAGGTCTGGTCGACGTACGTCTTGGTGGTGAGGTAGAGGGTGTTGGTCGAGGCATCAATTACACCAGTGGAGGTGACTCCGACGTGAGGTTCGATATCGTAGCAGCCATCCAGATCGGCAGACAAGAAGGGAATGGCGAGGCTGCGGGAAGCGATGATGCTGCCCGTCTTTGCATTAATTTTGTAGACATTATTTTGTGTAGTCGCGACGTAGACGTATTGCGTGCTGTCACCGTCGGGCGTGTAAACGAGTGGCTGAGAAAAGATCTGCTCTGCGACGCCGCCATATTTGCCGGGCAGAGGTGTGCGGAAGAGCTGGCCGAACTGGGAGCTCCCCACGACGGAGGGGTCCATGTTGTGGTTTCTTCATGATGGGATCTAGCGTTAGAACTCTTTTCTTGGTTTTCATGACTGGCCGCACTGGTCCCCCGCCGAGCGGATCGCCGGAGGAGACGATCGACGCCGGGGAATGAGAGTGTGTCTGGAGAGATATGGGGATCAAGGGAATGAATCTTGAACTTACGTCTGGTACCCGGCTCTCGAATTGTCGCCTCCCCAGGTGATGGTGTCTGTTGAGGCCAGGCCATTGGCAAGGCCAATGAGGGCCGTCATCACCCACGTCTTGAAAGCCATGATGAGTGGCTTGTGACCTTCACTGGCGAGATGGCCGGGCGGAGTTGCGGTGGTTTGGCTCTAAACGAAGGAAGCACAAACTGGCGTGAGGGGATGGGAAAAAGCAGAACACCATCGGCCTGGAGGGAAAGACGGGAGGGCAGCTCTCGATATTATCTCTAAATTGGATCTTTGGCTCTCGAGCGCGTTCGGCTCCAAAAGCTGCTGGGCTGCTGCGCCCACGGGCAACGAGAAGCGTGGGACCCATGCAGGGCCGACCCATGGATGATTGGCGTGGCATCAGCAAGCCCACCCATGATGCATCGCATCCCGGCCCGTTCTCGAAAGCTAGCGGACAGGCCTAAAGTCCTAAACCACCCCGGACGGTCAGTCGATGGGGACGGCAGCACAGATCTGACCAGTGAGCCGGCGTCTTGTCACCAGGCCGCAGGAGCTGGGCAGGCTAGATAGGTCTGGGATGCAATATGCGGCAAGGTATGCGCAGGCGAGGCCGGGGATGGAGGGGATGTGCCAGTCGTGGACCTGTTCGAGGCTGGCCTCGAGCAATATTATCATTGGCTTGGCCCTGTGCCAATGCCTTTGCCTTTGGAGTTCGCCGTGCTGCTCTCGAGTATTCTGATAGGTGTCTGGAGAGAACGACAGAGCGCAAAGTCTTGATCTGTGATCCGAGCTGCCGACTTGTCACTCGTGAAAGGCGACGAAAGACGAGCAGGCCCCTGACGATCGCACTGAGAGCCTATACTACACAGTAAGAGCCTAAAAGGTACCTAGCAGTAGGTATTGACACCGCCCTGTCTGCCAATGGATACTGGAAGGGAGCACGAAGAAAGTCCAGCCTCAGCACTAGAAGGCGACACGAAGGCCATGCTTGCTGCGATGCAACGACAACGACAACGGGTGTCGGCTTCGCTGGCGTTGGCTGGCGCCGCGTGCGATGCCGCGGTGCAATGCTGCAGTGACATGGTGGTATCTTTTATTGGGGATCGGCGGAAGTATGCAGGCTGCCAACGCCACGCCGTCCGGTGTTTTGGGGCACACTATTCCCAGCCAGGCCAAGGGTTTGGAGCTCGAGAAGGTTCGGATGATTTTTGCTCGTTTTTCTGGCTGCCTTTGTCTGTCTGTCCCTGGTAAGCCTGGCTTGAAGCAACGGCTTGGAAGGGCGGACAGACATGGAAGACTCGGCAGTGGCCCGAGCGATACACGATGTGAGGCTTGGAGGCGTCCGACGGCGCCCGGCGAGACGGACGGGAAGGAAACGGCTGGTCGATACGGTTACTTGTGGATAGATGGCGCAAAGCCCAACTGGCCATCGATGCAGGGCGTGATGGATAGATGGATGGAGGGGTCCGAAGGGATGCGATGATAGTCGATGATGGGATGAAATTCAAGGATCTAGGGATTGGCGGATTGCGACTCGCCAGCTCGTGCAGCTCCGAGGCGTAAAAAGACACCGGCCATGAAAGATAGGCATTGTGAACCTGTATTCGTTCGTATTCGTCGTTCGATCTTCAGAGTGTAATAACACAGGAACAGTGCTAGGGATTAGGCAAGAGCCCAAGTGGACGGGAGTGTTGGTGCCGGGATGATTCAGGTTGTGTGTGTGGGCGAAGAAATGCAGCTTTTTTGACGACTTTCCTGAAGGAGAAAGAGGCAGCAGGTACGTACCCACCCAAGATACGGTTAAAATGAGGCACCGTGGACCGTCTCCACTCCGTCCAGTACGTACCTCAGTACGTCCCTGCTCTTTGCCCCACATCACCACCTGCGCGCTGCGAGAGTGGCTCGGTTTAATCGCCGATGACCCGACAGACTCCACCAGCCCCCGCCAGGATGTTTTTTTGCTGGAGTCGGCCCTCAATCGCCCTCCTTCTCTTTGTGCTCCTCTCTGAATCCCTCCTCACTTCCTTGCGGTTGACCTCCCCGTCCCTGTCGTCCATCATCAGCCTGACAGTCTCCGAATCTCCATAATCCACAATCATCGCGCAAAAGTGGTTCGTGTTATGGTCCGAGATGTCCTTGTCTTTTGGCCTACCATGCTCATGTTCATATCTAGATACCTTGTACACAGTCCGAGAGTCGACCTCGGTGTTTGCTTGTCTATGCCAGCACCCGAATGATCCTCCCTCTTCGCTGCAGGGACCCGTGAAGAAGACCCCAAGGACTGGTAGCGAAACATGGCCTCGTCGAACAAAGCAAGAAAAACAAAGACGCAACAAAACAGACAGGCAGATAACAATGTCCCATCGAGCCTGAATCACCAACGGTTTGCCAAGCACACCAGCCAGACACACCTACGTAGTATACGGATACACAGTACGGAGTACACATGCAGCAGACGTCTTCCCAAGAACCAATACAGGATGCCATGCCACCGGCTGCGCGTCTTCCAGCATGAAGCAGGCTGCTGCTGCTGCTGCTGCACGACTGGCATTGCATCCAATCCCCAAAAGCCAAGGCCTCAACGCTGGAAATAGCACTCTCCAAGTAACCTGACCTGCAGCTGCCCCTAATCTCCCTCAAGCCTAGCGCCACAGACACGCGAGTCTGGCAGAGACAGGTCCATCTTGCAAAGACAATCTCGACATGGAATGCCAACGCCTTTGTTCCTGGCAAAAGTCTTCTCAGTCACTCTTGTCGGTTTATGGTGTCAGTTGTTCTTGCTGTGGAGTGAGTGAGAGTTCAGCGCCATCGAGCTAACGACACATCAAGAGCCCGAGGCCCCATTCGTTTCAGGCGGCAAAGAAACACCAAACAATGCACTAACAAAATAGTAGTACAGGTACCCACGACGCCAACGAAGCAATCCAGGAACAGATCGGACCTGAAGATGCCGCTGCTCGCTAGCAAGACGCCACTTATGCAAACTCAAGCCCCTTTGCCTTTCGCCGTTTCTTTGACGCTGCCCGCTGGCTCTTTGAGAAGCGGCGTTGGGAAACAATCAGACCGTCGCCCACGATAGACATACAGCATAAGGTAAGGTATAGATGGACCGAAGGCATAAAGATACATCGCTAGCGCTTCTCGTATTCCACCCATGGCCAAGACGTCACCTCCCCTTCGCTGTCCGGCGTTCCTGGCTGCCGTATTCTTGCTTTTGTTCGCTCTATCTGCTGTTAGTTCCCACTACCAGTATCTCCTAGAGCGTCAATTTCTCACTATACCCCATTGCTGGTCTCAGTTTGCGTAGTCGTCGAACCCCCTAATTTGCGGTGTTTCCTCATCGCCATCACCTTTTTTGTTCTTATACTTTCTTCTGTGGCAGAGAGTCGCTATTGTCTTGACTCCTGTCTCATTGGTCCCCTATTATCCGCAATGTCTAAGTGAATTCTTTTTCTGTCTTTCCCCCTTTGACTTTCCTCCGGCCGGACATGTTCCGCCCGGACAATATCCAGCGTCGCCAAGAGCTTGTCAAGCCTGACTTGCAGGAGACCATTGATTCCGTGCCTGGGGACTGCAGCCTGTCACCAAGAGAGACCTCACCGAGCGACCAATCTCGGTCAGCAACACAATCAAAATCTGGTGTTCAAAGTTTGCCCGGCTTCTCACGACTTGCTGATTACCTACTGTGGCACGTATGGGTGCTCCCACTAGAGGATGATGATCTTTCTCTCATCAGGCCACACAATCTCCAGAACCTCATCTCCCTGGTGCACTCCCTTTCCTCGACCGACGTAGCCCTCAGCTCCCCTACATCGCCTAAACCCAACACCACCCCGGCTCTCCGTCCTTCCCAATATCGACAAGCACCAACAAACATCGGCACACCCGCACCACGGGCCGGACGGCACGGCGCCCGGCAGAGAAGAAGCGAAAAGCCACCCAGCACCACCCTACCAGCACTTCTACGAAGCGCTTCATGGACAAGAGGCTAAGAGCCCAATCAAACGCCCCATCGCAACTCTCACCGTGTGGCGTCAGAACACTGACCAGTGACCCCATCAGGCTTTGCTGCTTATTGACTCGCAACGTGGTTTCGCTCAGACGCTGAGCTTTACGGAGGTGCTTGTCTGCCTTAGCGTTTCTGACTTTCTTCTTGTCGTCTGTTTTGTCACCTATTTTAGGTGCTTTCATCCCAAAGGGACGGATGGACCGGCAATTGCTAGCTAGGCTAGCTGAACAGCTGACACTTTGGGACAGGACCAGACGAAAGCCAGAGACAAGCGACGACAGCTTCACACGCGTCCTTTCCGTCCCTGCGCTTGTGGCTGTCTTGCACGTTTGCTCGTGCACCTGCCTGTCTCCCTGATGCCGCGAGCTCTAGATCGCAACCCGAGGTGGATTGAGATTTCCTGAATGGGCCAGTGCCGATTCAATCAGCCGACTTTTGCCGTAAGACGGCGTGGGCTGCAGAGTGCAGCAGTGCAGACTGCTGCAGATTGCAGGCACCTTCACTGTCTGACCATGCGGTCAGCACGACCCTTGGAGAGTTGGAGCTTGCTTATCACAGCGTCTCACTGCCAAGTGCCTGAACCAAGTTGGAAGTGGCGAGTGAGCAGTAGATAGGCACCTCAGGTCCCGCTGTCTGATTGTTGGCCGTCTTTTTGACCGCCTTTGATCTGGTTATTTGATAGAAGGGGTATATCTCGCGGTCCATATGATTTCAAGACCTGTCAGAACTCGTGGGCCGATCGTGCATCCGACTTCGACCCTTGCATCCCGTTACGATTGACTGGCGGGTGAATCTGAATCATCACGATTCATCCGGTGGGCGATCCGTTGGAAGAAATTGTTGAGTGAAGTATGGCGCGTCGCCTCTCGATGCTGCTGCAATGCCCACGTATCGTAGTGCTCCTCCCCCACCTCTTCCAGCAGCGACAGAAATCGGTCTTCCAAATCCTCAAAGTCCACGTTGAAATGTCCAGCCGCGGAAGCGGAAGGGAGCCCGCCACGATAAAAGAACAGAGGCGCAAGCCGATCCAAACATATCGCCGACCCACGAAGCGGCCTATCCGGATGAGGATGGCACTCCAGAAGATCATCCTCCCGCGGCGGCCTGCTGAGATCCAGGGCTCCGAACCGCGTCAGTACGCGCTGCTCGCCGACCAGGTTCGGGATGTTCTCGCCGCGGTTGAAGGGCGTGAGGAGCAGCTCTGGGACGCCGAGGCGCTTCCACTGCCCTCCGAAGGGGAAGGCGTCCCAGTACATGGGCAGGATGCGCTGCCTCACCATCATATAGTTCTTCTCCCAGTCTATGAACTTGATGTTGAGGGTTCCTATGGCCTTGAGGGAGCCGAGGAGGCGCGCCACGTCGTTGGCCTTTGCCCAGTGGCAGAGGAACGGCGCGTTCCACTGGCGCCAGAACTTTTCGGTGTCGAGGATGGGTTCACCCTGACATCCTCGATTCTGGGGTATGTTAGTCGATACATCGCGACATGTTGGATCATGCATGGACTCGGGGCCATATAATCGGGCGGAACGAACGTGAAGTCAGAGTGCCGCGGAGTACAAGTCATAGTCGTGAAGATGGTCTTGGGGTAGGAAGATAACATACATTCTTGTCAATCATCATGAAGCGAAAACCGCTTGTTTTTCTGGGAACATGATGCGGCGAGTACCACGGCGCATCAGCCGGAAACCACGGCCCCCGAAACTCCACAAACACATTCTCAATCTTCTTCGCGTCTCGAAGCTCGTCAAACACGAGATTATCCATATGATTCACATGAATATACCGCGGCGCCGGGAAATCCGCGCTCTTAACGCTATGCGACGCAGCGATGGTGATCCACTGGTCCTTGCGACATGTCGCCGTGATGCGGATGGTGAGGCAGGATATCTCGCCCGCCTCGTTGCGGGGAAACAAGTGCGGCGCGAGTTCGCGGGCGGTTTGCTTGCAGGTGTTGATGAGGCCTAGGACGGGCTGCTCATCGCAGTTGAACTCAAAGTCGACGGGGAGGGGCGCTGCGACGAGGGCCCAGATTGTGTTGCGGAGCTCGGGGGGCAGCTGGAGGAGGGGCGAGTTTTGGATGGTGGAGCCCATGTTTTGCGCCTGGTGTTCACTTTGTTATCTAAGATTTGGCTCTTTTCGCTTTCCGCTCTGGCATAGAGAATTCACAAGATGCGAATGAAGCATCGTCGTTTCACTCGTGAGTGAGCACTCAGCTTCGGTTGGGAGCATGTTTGGAAGGTCACGTGGCGGGCGGTCGCCTGCTGCGAGATCACGTGGTGGCTCTGCTGCCTGGAGAGACGTCTCCCACGAGCAATCCCAAAAGGCACAGCATTGCACTAACTTCAAGGAACACCTGGAGACCTCTATTTGCACAGACTGTTCCATTCTTGATTCGAATTTGTCTCGAAATTCAAGAGAAAATGCACAAGTCAGACTGCATTTTGGTACACCTACAGTGGAGTCGTCAGTTGACTTAAACATCCCCCAAACGCTTCTTCAACCTTGATCGTTGAAAGCCATCCTCAGTCTACCAAGGTCGAAGAAAAGCTAGAGCTTAAGGTTTCTGATCTATTGCTATGGATAGGCAACATAGGGTACGTTACGGGGTTCCTTAAACTAGAGGGTTGCTCAAACGTCTTCAAAAGGCGGGACACTTCTTACTTCATTTCCCAAACGCTCTCTGACCTCACCATCAATGATCTGTCCATCACTCTGACTTCACAACCATGGATAAGACTTCTCTACTGCACAAACTACCCGGAGAAATCCGCAACAAGATATGGACGCTGCTCTGCACCACACCCGCATGGCGACCATACCGAGAGAGGTTCGGGCCGACGACAGGCATCCTCAACTGCAACAAATACCTATCCCAAGAATTCTCATCATTCCTCTTCCATCAGAACCCAAGAGGCGAGATCCCGAGTCTCACCATCGTCATTACGGCTACGTGCCGAAGAGAAGCCTGGCTATCGTTGGCAATCGAGCCCCAGTGCCCGATGGCCAATAGTTATCACTTCAGCAATCGTATCGACAACGAAAGGTGCTTCGACGTTAACGACATGGACAACCCGGTCTTTGACGTCCTCCGCGAAGCCAAACAGATCAACGTAGTCAACATTCGATTCGAGGGCCCCTGGTTCGTCAACGACGCACCGCTGTATTCGCTCCCCGAGAAGCAAAGAGCCCCGTTTGGAGAGGATCCGATTTACGATGCAGAGGCCTTTTGGCGGCAGTGGGATGTTCCGTTTCTTTGTCACTGGGCCAAGGCACAGGACGTTGCTCGGCTGCTCGGGTCGTTTCAGAGGATCGGGCAGGTGGCGATACACTTCAACGATTGGGGTCGGGACAGTCGAAGAGACGGGGAAAAGTATTGGCATGCAATACCGTTCTACACTTCCATCAAGGACTCGGAACTGAGGAATCCGGCTAAGGTATGGAGGCTGCTGATAGAATGCTTCTCATACGGGGACGCGGATGGGATGAATTTGCTCAATATCGATTCTTCCGAGTACAAGACCTTGTTCGGCATCATTACGTTTCCCACGAAAAAGAATCCCGAAGGGGGACTGGCTCCCCGCTATTACCATGAAGATGGGTTGGCTGATCGACTCGAGGGGCTTGGGCCGATCAAGAAACCACAAACTCTTGAAGAAGCCCCCAAGCACCATGTAAACCGCCTCTTCGCCGCGTTTACATCGCTTTTGGAACAACAGAGCGACGACATTTACGACGTTTGGGCCCTTCGAGAGCACCGAGCGGCGACATTGGATTCATCGCCCAGGAACTTTTTCCACCGACTGCAACGTCAAGGAAAGTATCCGATCAGCTAAGTTCAAGTAGGATAATGACAAGATCATAAAACTCTCTGAAGAATCGCGGTCTCCGACCGGTGTGAAGAACATGAACGACATCATGCCCAAGCTCGATGCCTCCGTTTCCACGTGCACCAGATAGATAGTCCGCCTGCCATGTTCAGGCATGTTTTAAATGTCGTCAATCCTCGTGCAGCGGTCACATCTACATTTACGGACTTCTACCCAGCGGACGAATACGCGATAACCAATCCGACTTTCCTCATTGACGGGCACCCATGTTAGCTCCGCAGTACAAAGCGGACCGCAGCCCGGAATGCAACGTTGTTTAACCCGCAGTCATCTTTAGCTCGCTTATGTTCCACAACGTCGCCTGGCTTGCATCAAGTCGTCTCCTCGTGATGCGAGGGGCATCGAGGGCTTGTAAAAACATCGTGGGAGAGGTGAATCGTAGCAGAGTTTAGAGAATTGCAACATTTTTGGGCTTTCATCTCACTTTTCGTGAAGATGAGTTTCATCCCCGAAGCCATCACGCCGACGTCCGTCCTGTCATGGCAGTCTGCAGCTACGCTCCTCGTCATATGGATCACCTATTGTCTAGGGCGCGCCATCTACAATGTGTCGCCTCTACACCCTCTCAGCAAGTTTCCTGGCCCCAAGCTGGCTGCCGCCTCGTATGCTCCCGAGTGCTGGTACGATTTCGTGAAGAAGGGGCGGTACACCTATGAGATTGTCAAGATGCACCAAATCTACGGTACGTGATTCATGTTGGGTGAGACTCAACCTCCCTCAGATACATCAGCTGATGGAGAATAATCTAGGACCCATAGTCCGCATAAACCCTGACGAGGTGCACTGCAATGACGTCCGCTTCACCGACGAAGTCTACGCCATCAACGGAAGAAAGAGAGACAAGCACATCCACCACATGATCAACCTACCAGATCCGTAAAACTCCCACCGGCACTTCTCATGTCTTTAGCTTGCTTGCCTCTAACTCCCATCACAGCGCAACCTTTGCTACCTTTGGCACCCTTGACCACGATCTCCACCGCAGACGGCGAGCCGCCGTCGGCAAGTTCTTCTCCCGGCAGCAGATGCTCAAGCTCGAGCCGCAAGTCTACGCATCAGCGCAGAAACTATGCGACAAGCTTCTTTCGTTTGCTGGTCCGGATGGCGAGGTCGTGCCTTTGCAAGACGCCTATAGCTGCTTTACGACGGACGTGATTACCGAGTACTGCTTTGGCGAGTCGTTTGGGTTTCTTGAGCAGAAGGAGTGGACGCCTAATTATCGTTCGGCTGTTTATGGGGCACTGGTTCATACGTTCCTGTTCAAGTTCTTTCCGTGGACGAAGATTGTCATGAATGCTGGGCCCTAGTGAGTGCAATTCCAGAATTACCTGCTGGAGCGAGTTTCATCGACAAGAGCTGACTTGTCTAGTCTCAAGAATTACCTACCCAGGGACACGGCTATCTTCATCAACACCTACGATGTAAGTTTACCTCTGTTTCTCGCTCGTCATGCATGAATACCCTCAGAGAACGGCGATTGATAAACAAGCACCACAGACCGTCATCCCAGCCCTCGTAGAGAAGGCTAGAGACCGCAAAGTTACAGGCACAGATGCCAACGCTCGCCCTAACGTCTTCGCCGCCTTATTCGACTTCGATCTCCCACCCGAAGAAAAGACGGTTCCACGACTCACGTCCGAGGGTGCCATCATGATAACCGCAGGAACGGAAACAACAAGCTACACGCTTACAATGATCAGCTTCCACCTCCTATCGAACCCCGGAATCTTGGAAAAGTTGACACGAGAACTTCAAGGGGCGGTCAAGGATCCGAAGCACCTGCCAAACTGGCCCACGTTGGAAACACTGCCGTATCTGAATGCTGTTATCTCTGAGGGTCTACGGCTGGCGCCGGGCGGGTCGATGCGCACTGGCAGAGTCGCTACCGAGGAGGATCTCGTCTATCGCGGGGAATGGAGGCCTGAAGAGTCAGATGTCGATATGGATGTGTGCCATGTCATACCCAGCGGATGGGCGGTCAGTATGAGCGCTATCATCTCACATCTCGATGAGAGGATGTTTCCGAACGCCAAAGAGTTTATACCAGAGCGGTGGATCGATGAGAACGGTCAGAGGAGAAGAGAGTTGGAAACTGGATTCATCCCGTTTTCCAAGGGAACTCGACAGTGTGTGGGAATGCCGTAAGTTTTTGACTACCCCTTGCAAATTCGTTGTTGACCCGTACTGATCTTCTGTATAGACTCGCCTACTCTGAGTTATACATCGCCTTGACTTCTTTGGTGCTGAGGGTCTTTCCGCGCATGCAATTGTACGATACCACTTTGCGCGATGTTGAGTATGATCATGACTTGGGCGTGCCGATTCCCGCGACCGAGAATGGCGTAAAGGTCAAGATCGTCTGAGTTACTAAAAAGTCACGGTCCACCATGAAGAGACATGCTTGCTAGGAAGTTGAGGCGATTATCTCCGAAGTTCTCGTTCTTGTCAGCTGGTCTAGTACAGGGGAATCACCATGCAGGACAATATCTGGGAAACCGCTGGTCTTTGTGATTCACTAACAAATATAGCAACGCCTCTCTACCATGGCTCCCATTCAGTCACTCCACCCATCTCCTTACATATAAGAAGACAAAGAATGAGAACAACGAACCATCTTCCACAAACATCCCTCGTTCCCATAGCCTCTGCGATCAACTAAGCAAAACCAGTCTCTCGTCAACTTCTTCGTCATGAGGCTCAACATCTGTTTTCTCGTGGGTCTGGCTGCCATCAGCCAAGCCGAACAGGTCTCAGTAATCCCCATCAATGAGACGACATGTCACTCTTTTCCCAAGGCTTCTTCAATTGAATTTATCCCTATCAATGTAACTGCAACTTATTCACCCCTCAAGTCTTCGTCAATTGAAGTCATCCCCATCGACGTGGTGACAGGCCACTCCCTCCTCAAACCCTCGCCAACCCAAGCCCCATCGAACTGTACATGCACGCACGAGGACACGAGAAAACCAGCCACCAACAACCGCCCGGCTGAAGTCCCCTACTGGGGCTTCAAACAAAGCTGCACCGAAATCCACGGTGACGGAGACGAAGAAGCAGTCATCTGGGCTTGCTGCGACACGACACACGGCTACGGCATCCAGAACCGCTTCCGACTGGGCCAGTGTATCGAGAATGCGCGCGGGAAGCTAATTCCACGCAAGAACGGGGGATTCTGGCATACTTGTGAGGATTGTGGACTCAAGGATCCGGAGAGACCGACGGTGTATAGCTGCAAGTGCTGGCCTATGCCAGGGCATGGTGCGAAACATGAGCGTGTGGAGGCTGAGATTGAGTTGGTAAGTATTGGGGGTAGTCTGATTTAAGTAAGAATGAGAATTTGGTGCTAACTATACATCTAGAACGACTTCATTGGTAACGATCATGGCAAGTTGGTTTGCTTCGGCGTCACGGAGCAACGCTATTGGGGAAATTGCACCAACAACTTTCCTTGGGATAACTAGACTACTTCAATAGAAAATAGATACACTGAGTCTCCTGATACTCTTCAAGACTCATAAGCGTGAAAAACCTTTGCGATAATCTTCCAGCCTCCATCAACCTTGATCAACGTGTGAAAGTCGGTGTACGCCGGGCCGTCGGGGGTGTTCTCCATATCGACCTTGACGACGGCAGTTGTGGGCGTGATACCAATGACGTCGCATCGGGTCTTAAGAGACGCGCTTGTACCGTAGGTGTCGAAGAATGCGTGAAGATTGGTGTACGAGCCTAACGAGAGTGTGCCGTCGGCCGGGGCCCAGCCGGTCATTTTTGCGTCCTTATGGAATGCGAGATCGAGGAGGGCGCGGTCTGCTTTTGCGACGCTGTCGACGTAGTGTTGAACTGTCTTAATGACTTCGTCATATTGTGACGTCGGGATCGTCTTGGTGTTTTTGGACATTGTTGAAGGCTGGTGTTTTTGATGTTTGAGGTTCGGGGACTTGTTGATCGCACCAGGTGTAGTTAATTATTCAAACCTCGGTGTTTGGGCCTGGCTTCTTTACACTACTTGTCGTCTCTTTTAAATACTTGAAATATAGCCTGTATTTTCTTTGAAAATAGGTCCGCGCAACTAGCCAGAGGTGCTTTCAAATCAAGCTCCGTGGAATTCCACTCCAGGTAATGTTCTTTTCATGCCAAGGAAAACACCTTGATGGCACCAAAATGAACCCCACTGAGGCGCAGTGAAACAGCTGTCGAATTTTTGGTGTTGATCCGCGGAAACCTGCCAAAACCGGAGAATGAAAGAATGCACCTCCACGGTGTGCTAGAATACTTCAAATGAGGGTAGTTACTTTCTGAGCTAATATTACAGCCAAGATTTCACTCGCCCGAGAGGACATATCTCGTATGATATTGACAAACACGTCTATAGGGGGGTACTATGTGCAAAGCATGTAGAAGGAGATAGGGACATGTCAAGTGAGATCTAGCCCCGAAGTGAGAAAGGATTTATAAAGAGAGTCCATTATTTAGATACCACCTAACCTGAAGTAGGGGGAAAAGAAGAGACGAAATTTTGCACGACCTCTTTGGCACGCGTGAAATCCTCGCCGCCACTAACCACATTATGTATGAACTCGTGAAGCGCCCCCATCTCCGATTGTTTCATCGCGCACTAGGTGTACAGTTCATTCATCCGATATACATATATCGTGGATATTAAAGCTTTTGGCGCTTAAGAATCAAGAACCAAGAACTCCAACAATTCCGTTATTGGTATATACGCGCATCTCCGATACCCAATCCTTCCGTACTTAAGGACCTTACCTTTCACGGGCGACCAAGTTTACCAATTCCATTTCTTATTTTACTCATTACAACCCCAGCCTCGACGTTTCCAAAGACTTCCAACCTGTTTTGTGACCTCGACAGAAAGTACAACCGAAAATACCCGAAAAGTTTAACAAGATGGACCGCCAGCGTCTACAGAGCAATGCACTGCATAGAAGTTCCCTGGAGAGAATCCCTCCTGAATTACTCATAGGAATTTGCGAAAGCCTAGACAACGTAAGCTCTCCAGATCCGCGTCACTTCGGAAAATCCCTCAAAAGTCTTGCGTCACTCTGTCGAGCATCAAAGCTTCTGCATGCTCTCGGAACAGCTGTGCTCTATCGGCGATTCCAATTTCGATTCAGCAGAGAGGAACCCAGCTTGGGGAGGCTCGTACAATTTATCTTGACGATCCAGCGGAATTGTCTCCTGGCTGGGCATGTAAGAGACCTGGATCTTGAGATACATCATGCAGATTATCTGAGCTGCCTGTCTTTAGACCGCAAAACGACTGTCCACGAATCAGGAAGAAACCTAGAATTGGAACTTGTATTGTCAGCACCCACGCTCCTAAGTCTCCGGTATTCTACTTCGGCCTTGCAGTTCGCGATTGTTTTAGCGCAGCACCTTATCATACGGCTGACACAACTGACAAGATTATCAATGAGGTCTCTTCATCCTAGCTCAACGCGCATAGTAGGTAATTGGGCCTATCTCAGGAGAAATGGACGACCAAGGAGCTTACCACTTTTACGAACCGTGGCAATTCAAGCAATGGAAGCACCCACAGCGTCCCAACAATGAAGCCCTAGTATTTTACAAGCGCTTTGTCAAATCGCGCCAAACATCACCTATTTGAATACTGACCTGGTTATACCGTTGCCAGCATCCATTCACATGGCAAACGCAACCTTTCACCTGCGCAGCATTGAGCACCTCAATCTGAACGGAACAGAGATAGGGTATGAAATGCTGTCTTCATTGCTCCACTCCTGTGGACCACTGAAAGATTTCAAGTATCGACCGGCCGGCTGGAACATATATGGATGGCCTTCTCGGACGCGAGAAACTGCCGATATCACCGCTGGGTCGATCCTAGATGCACTAAGACCTCACGCAAACACGTTGAAGGCTTTGGAACTAAACATTATGGAAAACGTCTTCCGTTCAGGCCGCCGAGAGCAGCTGAAATCAATGCGACATTTCGAAACTCTCAAATACTTGGCACTGGACAGCTTCTGTTACGACGGGGGACAGTCCCTGGGAAGAATTCTCCCAGGCAGACTGGAAACTATTGAGATCACATGCATGCATGAAACGATGCATGAAGATATCTTGGAGCTGGCGCGTTCAGCCAATTGGCTTCCCAACCTCAACACGGTTAATTTATATCCTTGGCCCAATAGCACGAGCTGCCCTACGAGTATCCTCAAAATCTCGACCATTGCTGAGCAGTTTCGACAAAGAAACGTAGTATTCTCATTCTCTCACGGAACATATCTCAACCGTGCATCCGAAGAGGACTGTACTAGGTTTCTGACCCGCTTGGCCCCGTGGTGCTCTTCCTCCGGATAGCTTGAGACAATAGCTTAGCTAGAATATGATTAGCTGTTTGGGTAGCACTGACGGAGAACAGCCCCGCTTCGTAGCCGCCGAACCGACATGGACTAAGGTAAATATGCTGATTCATCACAATGGACTAATCACTTGGTATTCATCATCATTGTATAAACTATACACAATTATTGAGCAACATCAGTCCTAGATGTTGTTGGCAGTAGAGCTGGTAATTGTCAGAAATTATGGTCAAATTAACCTTGTTCATAGATGTCGAGAATCAAGTGCAATAATATCTTCATGTGAAATCACAATTAGGGGCTGATGAAATCAGCAGAGAAGTGTATGTTGAGCTCCAAACGACCAGAATTACAAATCCAACCCATTTCGATCACCTACTTCATAGTCCACTTTCAATCACGGAGATACCACACAAGGGCCTCGAAGCCGCTTCTCAGAGGTGACCATTGACACACAACTTGCAGTTGTTTGACTAGAGAGTTTGTAAGCCTTCCGACTGAACCGAGAACGATCGAGATAACTAACAGCTGACAAAATCGTGGCTACAACAGCGGCTGAGCATTTGGAGTCTTCCTTCACATCTGGTTTCAGATTTCAGATTAGCAATTGGCAAGAAAGTTTAATTTTCGCTAGTTTTATTGTTTCACCCTGAGTACCTGATTAAGGTGCTGTCGAAGGCGTGAATTCGAGTGGATTGAGGGTGACATCACGATGGAAATGCTTACCGAGGCCGCGAGCAGCGATCGCCCACATGCAGGTGACACCACCAGGGGTTACAGATCCAAGGCAGCCTTAGCAGTTGTTAGCAAAGGACAGGAAATGTAAGACGAGGGATTCTCTTACTAAAGAAGCGGCGCCAGCCACAGTGCATGAACGGCACGTTGCTCCTCTTGTCGAGATCTCTGTTCTCAAGGTCCAAATCGGTGTCTAGCGGAATTGTCAGGCTGGTACTCTTCGAAGGATCTCTTGCATCCCGAAAACTTCATTCCAGTTGGAAAACGAAGATACCTTTGAAGTAAGCCTCGAGGGCCGTCTTCCAATCATCAGGGAGGTCCTTCGGGATCTCAATGTTCTCAGCAGCTCTGAGGACCAAAGCACCTTCCGCAGAAGGCAACTCAGCTGGGATGGCTAGAGCCAAAGGGGCCATAACAAGGCAGGCGATGAAGGAGCTGAACTGCATTGTGAAAGGTTTGACTTGGGTAAGATTCAAATACTTGAGTGATGAGACTGCTAGAGCTGTTGTTGTCGATGTCGAACAGAGTCCACGAAGACGCGAGTCTGTTGAAGCTATTTATAAGAATTCTTTGAATCTCAAAATACTTGCAATCTCAAGACGATTCACATGTAATCTCTTCATCACTATTGGGGATGCCTGGCCGCTCATCATCATGATCGCTGCTCCATGGATTCTACGGTCTTCACTGAACTGAGGTGGTTCATCGCGAGATGCTTCACTGCCACGCGCATCACAGTCAGCTCCTTATTGGTCAACAAAGCTCATTCTTGCTACTGAGCCCGCTGTGGAACGTTTAAGAGAGTTCATCGGAAAATAAAAAGCTTCTCACATTTAATTTCATTTCAGAATGGGGAAAATCGTTGTATGTATGGTTGGTCAGTTAGCATGTCAGCGAGTCAAGGTGCAGCCGAACATCCGAGCCGCGACTGACTCCTTGACGATCCATGCGCGAACTTAAAAAAAGTCAAAGACGGATGAACTGTGGTCTGGGCTTCGTGTTGTCCACTCAGATTCTCACAACAACTCCACGAGGATTTGCTGTCATCAAACTCTGTCATATTTAAGTCAAACCCCCCACTTCCTGGCACCCCCCTGTTTCTGGCACCCACAAAAACGATGGGATCACAACCCAACCTCCTCATTACTATTAACTATTGATCCTCAACCACACCCACTACAATACAACTGCCAGCCTCACTAGGGCATTCAGAGTCGCTGGATTCAGCCGTAATAACCTCCTTTTCACCCGCTTCGATTTGAGCCCGATGGATATCCCTGATGTTCGCAAACTTCGTGTTGGGATCGATCTGAACAGTCTTCCTCTTCCTAACTGCAGCGTTGGTAACTTGGCCCTCAGGTGAGCCAGCTGCTGCTGGGCCTGCCAGTTGCCTGCCAGGCCTGCTCTGTGAAGCCTTTTTTCACCTTCCTGAACAGCAGCCGTTGAGTGCTGGTATCATTGTCGAGTTGGGTGTATAAGTGCAGTTGACCGCTGAGCTCTGCCAGCTTCCTGGGTGTCGACCAGACCACTGCAGAGGAAGCAGAATCCCATGGCTCAACAGGGGTAGTTTGTTGACCATTATGGCATCGCTTTTTGCCCCGACTGGTTGGTTTGGGTGTGGTGGGCTGCAGAAGGCTCAGGTAATACCATAGGGTTCATCAGGGCTTAACCATCGCTACAGGGTGTAGACCAGTCCACTTCCAACCACTTCTGATGTTCGAGACTGATAGACCAGCAAGTCAGCCTTCTGGTAACAGTCCAGGAAGTTCCTTTTACCTATAATGGTAGAGTCGTTCCATTGAGACAAGTAACCGAGCTCCTTCCGATAGGCTGACTTAACAGGGCTGAAGACAGACTGGTCAAGTGGCTGGAGGACATGAGAGGAGTGTGGTGGTAAGAACAGTAAATGGATATTGTTAATATAGCAATTCCACATGAAGTCTGTCGTCGTATGACTCCCATGCCCATCCACAATCAACAGTCGAGCCTCGCCCTCAGCCTCGGGCATAGTCTGTGGGATAAACACCTTCTCTAACCATTCAATGGCAGTTAAGTCTGTAGTCCAGCCATTATCTGTTGCTGTAAACTCCCACCCATCGTATGGAACCAGATGTAATGGAAACCACTGTTGTTGGACCGTCTTCCCTTGAAAATGATAAGAGGACGAAGTGCCCTACCCAAGGCTGAGATACACTCAATGATAGAGACCCATGCCCTCGACCCAGGTTGTTTCTTGCGAACAGACGTCGTCTCAGCCATGCCCAGCACTAACCCATTAGCTCCTGACCCTCGAGGATGCCAGTCTCATCCATATTATATCTGTTGGCTGGTTTGATGTCCTTGATCTCAGGGATAGCAAGGAACTTAAACCAGTTCCTAATGACCTCAGTAGATGCCCCATTAACGCGTCTAGAATCGATGGAACGACTTCTCTGAACCTTAATGATAGGGTTCCTTCTCACGAAGGCATAGATCCAGCCTTTTCCTAATGGTTTGGTATCCCCAGCAGCAGCCAGAACTCGCTCTGCGAATTCCTTCACCTGTTGGTGCGTTGGTGCGAGGCCCAGCGAAGCCTGAATGCGAACCCATTGTGCCAGCTTACTCTCCTGGTCAGGAGACAGCCTCTGCCAGTCAGCAAAAGCCACTTTCCTAGTCTGACCACCTTGGAGACGTAGTTGGAGGGTTGATCGTGGTATCCCATACTCCAATGAGGCTCTCTTTTGACTCTTGCCGTTTGAGATGTCCTCGAGAGCCTGACGAAGCTGATCTTCGGTATATTGAGGCATTAGATATAGAAGAAGGTATGTGCAAAAAATGAGCCCATTTGGACTCGAATTGAAAATGTTGTGATAAAAGGAGGTTGGGGGTGGGCATTGCGTTGTGGTGGATTTTCGCGTTTTTGTGGGTGCCAGAAACAGGGGGGTGCCGGGAAGTGGGGGGTTTGACTTATCGGTTGCTCGGAATGTAGCCATGTGAGTTGGAAAGGAACAGCCATAGTCTTCACGATAACTGAGTTCGGGATCGTTGTGAAGTAACGCAGCAACGTGGACACTGGCGAGGATTTCATAGGATACTGGGCAATCAAAGTGAATACGAGTTTGGAATTAGACTTGGAGCGGATAGTTGCGTTCGTGGAGTTGCGCTTACGATTTGCCAAACAATTATCATGAGCGTACTGGGTTTGCGTGCAACATCGCATGAGACACATGCATATATAACGCCCAAAAAGCTCCCGATGGAAACAGAAAAGTATTGTCCATACCAGCAGAAAACTACCACCGCACACTCTCAACTCTAAGCTCTGCACTCAAGATTTCTCTTAACTCCCCTACCTTACACGACAAAGTCACAATGGCACACTTCAGCCGCCCCGTTCTTCTCATCCTCACCACTCTCTTCCTTTTCTACGGCTTCAGCACCGCCTTCCCATCTCTCGCGGGGGCTCTCGAACCCCGTTGCTGGCGCAAGGCCTGCGACCACTGCGAGCGCGTCACCGTCACCATTGATCATCCCGGCTCCTGCAACAGCGTCAACCGCGATAATCTCAAGGCAGCCATCGACAGCACCTTCGTCAACTATGCCGGCAACTGCAGAGGCGAAGAGGCCGGCTTCAGCAACCAGGCGATTGCTGGCATCCAGGGAATCGGTTGCAGAGTTACTGTCAACTTCCCTCGTGGCAACAAGGGTGTCGACTGGGGTGGTTTGATCGGTTCCAACCTGGTTGGAACGGGAAGCTGGGCAGTCTCTGGCACCTCTACCGATGGTAGCGTGCACTGCGGCGGTTCATGCCAGTGGTAATCACATTGAAATCACAATCTTTCGATGTTATCGCTGCGTCATTGGTTTTCGGAATGATAGGTCCAATAATTGCGCAAACAGTACATACATGGGATGTGGCCTAGGTGTTAAAGCCAAGTTTCACAGGCAATTGGACCTGACTGGATATGTTTCGCTTCTCTTCAACATGCATTTCAATGCACCAACTTGAGTCAGATTATCATTTACTTTTAGTTTCTCAAATTCACTGTTATCACCAATCATTCTCCAGTCTTATTATCGAAACAAGTTTGCTGCGTTATTGAAGCTCAAAGTTACTAGCAGACCGACAGTTGGAAAAAGGACACCATAAGGCAGTTCCACACTTCCACCCAAGTCGATCTGATAGGAAGTTGGGCGCCTAGACAAGATCAAATGACCCTATTGTGGACTATTCGTTGGCTCTATCCCCTGCCGCTTGTTGGCCCAGTCTCCGCATCCCGCGGGCTGCCCATCACTCTTGGCTGCTGACATGCCAAGCAGGAGCTGGTAGCGTATCAGCCTTGAGATTCGTTGCAAACGCGAGTGCGAATTCACAGCCACAAAGGATGCTATTGCCTGCACGGTTCCTCAGGCATTTTCAAAATCTTAGAAGTTCCTAGAAAACACAGTTTCATATAAGGCCACTTCCTCCTCTGAATTGAGGAAAGACTCCATGTTGTTTTGCAATCTGACTAGCTGGTTTCACACTCTTCCTGTCTTCATTCGAAAGAACCTCTCTACAGTGAATACTGCCAAATATTGAGATACAAGAGCCTTCGAAACGCCCCAAGGTTATGGTATTTCTTTCCCAGATGATCCTCAACAGAGTACTAGTACGAATATGCTGGCTACTATAAGCAGTGAAAGCAAAAGAGCGGCTTCTCAAACAGCCGTCAGCTTGTTGCAAAGCGTTTTGGAAGAACGCGATAAGGTCTTTGTAAGGACTGGAGGGAATAACAGCAGGAAAAAGCATGGCCTGGTGGAAGAGATTGCCCAATCGGCGGCGGCAGGTATTGGTACCATCTCTGAAGCCTTGCATCACAGAAGAGAGAAGAAGTCCAGAGCACTGGATCCACAAAGGCCCTCGAGTCATTCAGGAAGTATCAGCAACACGGAGTCTACACCGATACAGCTTGACGAAGGAACAGGGAAAGCGAACACCCCTGACCTGGGAGCAGCAACGCCCATGTCAACTTCGCCACCTTCTCAAAACATACATGATCTTGCATCAGCTTTCATCAAGCGACACCCGTTGAAAACTACTGGAAGTTCTGAGGACGGGCAGAGGCTCTCTCTGCCAGTGCTTGTGCCCCAGAGACGGCCCGAGAAGCGAGCGCGGGGTTTCATACGAGCATACGCACCCATGCTAGTCGACGTTAAGATCAATCAAGATACTTTCCTCGACTTCATCGATACCCTCAACAAGTCACTGGAACCCAATCCTTGGATCAGTGCCGTCAATTTGGCGGGCTTTGCAGGAGAAGCGCTGCCAGATCCGGCGTCGCTGCTCTTTGGATTCGCCGTCGAGGCTGCCACCGAGGCCGTCATGGAGGGACAAAGTCTGTTCTGCTCCAACAAGTTCTTGAACTGCGTCAATGCAGACTTCTTCATTCCAAGAGGGTTGGTCTGCCTCGTTGTTACGTGGCAGCCCGACAACGACTGCGACCAAGTCGCAACCAATTTTGTGGAGGAAGTGGATACGCTACAAACCAAGCCTGATTTAAAGCGGGAAATTTCAGATGTTGCTGCAGGGAAAAAGAAGCCTTCAGAGGGCTGGCAAGAGTTGAAGACACAGATGGGCGACTTGATGAAGCCCACTCGTGGCGACTTCAAGTGGCCTGAACCGGCGCCCCTTATCTTCCCGGACGTTAAGAGCACTCCCAAAAAGGGTGACGTTGAAGCTAAAAAGAAGAACGCTTGGGACAGAATGGAAGATTGGATCAACAACCACTCGGACAAACGCGCTCAAGCTAGCTGGATTGACGAGAACAAGAATCATCCGAGGATGAACTTGATGCCACAGCCAAAGTTTAAGTCACGATACGCTGACCCGAATCATCAAGTCTCTAGCGGTGATCTTGTCTCTTTGGTCACAGGAGGTCGCTGGAGGCTTGCTACGGACACAAAGGACGAAACAAGCAAACGGCCAGAGAGGATGGCTGATGAAAAGTGTGACAAAGAGAAAGGGTTGCGGGAGAGTAGTAACAAGGACGAGAAGAAGAAGAAGAGTACAACGAAGGATAGAAAGAAAGGCATCCTGGAAGCGGATCGAGAGAAGAAGGACGATGGCGAGACTGGGGAGATAACAGCTTACCAAGAGAGGAGCCTGGAGACTGTTAGTCTGAGAAGCCACACAGAAGAAGGAGGCGCTGAGAAAGATGTCGGGAAAGATGGTGTAACGAATACAAAAGACATATGCAGAGTTGGCGAGATTGAAGGTGGAGACAGGGGCATGGTCAGGGCCAAAGAGGCGAAGAAGAAAGCCGGTTCTTCAAGCAAGTCTGGTGATGTCTTCAAGGGTCTGTTCCAAAAGGTAAGCATGATGGCTGAGTACACCTCCGTAGAGTTTGATGCTGATCACACACTAAAGGACGTACTCTATCTGGCTATCCTTGAACTACCCTCCCAAGGGAAGGCCGACTGATGATCTAATTGGCCTGTCTAATGAGCATCATGCAAACCAACAGACATTTCAAACCTGGCTGTTTCAAAAGGGTGGCGGAGACATGAACCAACAGGGCTTCTCGACTTGTAGATGCGCGCTAGGAAGTTAGGCGCCAACACTTCCCTTGATCTCTAGCACCGCGTTCTGACTAGGCAACCACGAACTTCATCTTGAGCTCCCCAGCTTCATATGAATGCGACTAACGTATCTTGGCTGAGGCATGTTGTGATTGGGGGCAGGGATCCAAGTTGATCCACAAAGCTGCATTTGGCGACTTGGAACCAACAAGATCTCGGATTCGGCGGCTAGGTGAGGCTCAGTATGGCGCTTGACACCTTCATCCAGATGGAGCTTCAACGAGTTGCATTTCACAGTCTGGGTAACTCCGCTTCTGCAATGTTTCATACCCCTCAGCAAATCGTGAGTGCCTTACCTTATAAGAGCTCACGCTCTCGATCCCCCTTGACACTCATTATTTCTGTCCACTTGTCTTTCCAACATATCTAGGCCCCCACACTAGGAAGATTCCACACTCGAACTGGATTCTTCCAACCTCATATTATTTCAGCTTGGTTCAATATTCAATCTATGATACCACCAATCTAAGGGCCTTACTACGCAGTCCCACACGGAGATGCTCGAAATCCCTCTCCCCCAAAGTCAACTAAAGACTCACCATGTATCTGATGATGCACCGGAAACAGCTTTGATAGACTCAAAGCCCACGGTCTCGACTCTGAACTACCTTACCGAGAATGATGTGTTCGATTTATTGTGGTTAGCCTTTGACAGCAAGCAAGCCGTTCAAGGCGTTTTCAATGGTTGGTGTTGTCCTCACCATGTGAATCTATCACCGTCGCCAATACTGACATAATTGAGTAGTCCAAGGTGCTGTGGCTGCTGGCAAAGCCGAGTTTGTTGTATTTGCTTGGCAAAACCTCATGATGAAGGATCATCTGAGGGATGTTATTGAGCAGCGTACTTGGCAATTATGCAAGGAACGTCAGGTTCCCACATTCTTTGTCTCTAGCATGTATTTTCTGGGTCATGGTTGTGGATTTGATTACGCTATTCGCGCTGTAGCCGTTACCTTCCAGGAAGGTAGCGAGCTAACAAATGAGATCAAAGACATGAAGAGGAGGATTCAAAGGCTCAGGAGTATTCTTTATGACTCCGAAGCTGAAGAGTCCATCGACAGCGATACACTCGAAGGTCATCTCGATGAATCCGAAGATGAGAACCACATGGATACCGTTGCTCTCGGCAGCAAGCCTGGCGACTTGGAGCATGAAGAAGCTATCCTCATCGAAAACCTTAGTGGCAAGCCTGCTGATACTGAGGCTGAGGAAGCAGGTCGTTCAAGCTTTCTCGAAAATAAGCTTCACGACATCGAAGTTCAAGATCCAGCATGCAGCGAGATCCTCAGCGGCAAACCCGATGGTCTCGAGGCTGAGATGTCAGCCTCAATAGGTGTCCTCGAACGGAGGCCGAGCGACCTCGAGGCTATACAGCCCGTGCACGCTGATAACTTTGGAATTCTATCTGAGGCATCGGAATTCGCACATTCAACGCGTACTGACAGCTTCGAGTACCTCAAGTGTATCAAGCACGTCGGGCGAGTCTGACGACTTCGATCCTTTTGAGCCAAGTTGCGCTGATAGCTTTGGAAGCCAATCGAGCATATCTGACGGCTCTGTTGCTGGAGATCCCACTTGTGCTGAGAGTATGGAAGATAGCTGATGAGTTCGTGTTGGCACATCTCTGTCATAATCGCTTGAAGAAATAAGCAATGTCTGGGTTAATCGACATTACGGTAGCTACATGCTTCGCATAGCTCGGTCGATTAAGCTGATGCGAATAGAGACACTACATCCCATCGTTTCCTTAATAGCTACATGTTTGTGTCTTAACTAATTACGCTCAAGGCAATTATGTGAGTTACGATGGTGACTTTCTTGATGTGTAGGTCACAACGTGTTGTTTAGTCCGCCATAGCAATCCCTGGCTCGCTTGCAGGAGTGGGGTCGTCTCAACTCAACCCCCATTCAATTTGCTTGAAACAACCTTCTCCCGAAGGCTCGTCTACCACGAACGTTCGACAACACCATCCAAATTCATATTCGACGACTTATGATATGCTCTATTGCCCATGACAATTCTCAATCATGCAAATCTCGGGCGAATTGTCGGGATTCTCGTGCCGGAAGGGCGCAGGATCGTCCGGCCGCCCGTTGACCGGTCACCCGAGCTGACATGTCGATCACAGGCACAGCCGACGCATCCCACGGGAACCTGAAGAAGCTTAACCGGTGATTTTATATCCTTTGCCAACGGCGACTGGTGCAAAATCCAGTCTTGCTTTACCGCCAAATAGGCAAGTGCCGACAACTCCTTCACGATACGACGTAGCAATGCATGGTTGCGGGGGCTAGGTGCAACCTTCGGCCTGATGTGCCATTAAGTTCGGACGACAATCTATCCCACCCCGGCTCAAAATGACCCTGTTCAGTTCGTGTTTACCCTGAGGCTTTTGGCTGGAAACCCCCTTTGAGGATGAAAGTGCCCTCCAATATCCGTATGTCGTTCGCCGTGAGAGCCGTCTAAGTTTAGCGGCACTCGGATCGTCATGTCATGGGGGGGCCCCTGCGTCGGAGTGTTTCGCCTCCTTCCAAAAGCGATGTTTCCAGTCCCTGGCAGTGGGTGGAAAAACTGACGGTGTGGAGGTGACTTCATCTATCTCGAGGGTTTGGCGGGGCTTTGACAGGGAACGTGAAGCCGAGCTAGCAATAGACATCAGCCGACTGCCATCAACTTGAAGCTTGGTTCAGGAGGTATTTGACCAAGCCCGTTTCCCGCCCGTTCGTCTGGTCTCTTGGTCGAAAGAGCTTCATCGCCCATCTTCAAGAGCGAACAAGACTGCAGCCTCTCTTTACAAAAATGGTCTGGCTCAACCAAGCCGCCCTCTTCCTGGGCAGCGCGCTGCTGGTGGCAGACGTGCTCCCCGTCGGAGCCGTCCGCACCATCATCCCCAAGACGAGCTTCGACTCCCAGTCTAACTTCGACGCCGACTGGAACTACCTCTACCCCTGGGGCACCGACCACAACGGCGGCGCTCGCATGACAAAGGACAACGTCAAATTCAGCGGCGGCACGTTGACCATCACAGCTAACAAGGTCAGCGGGCAGCCGCAGGCGACGCATGGCGGGCAAAAGATCAACATCAACTACCTCAGCGGAGCGATCCACGCAAAGGAGCACTTCAACGTCTCGCGCGGGGGCGGATACGACTTCAGCGCCGAGATCAAGGCGACAACGACAAAGGGCACGTGGCCCGCCTTCTGGCTGACGGCCGTCCAGGGGTGGCCGCCAGAAATCGACATGGCGGAGTGGAAGGGCAGCGGCAAGGTCAGCTTCAACACGTTCAACACGAGCTCCATCGTCGCTGCGAAGGACGTGACGTACCCCAGCCCGGGTAACTTCCACTCGTTCAAGTGCGAGACGCGGGACTTGAACGGCAAGGACGTGCAGGCCAAGTTCTACATGGATGGCAACCTCATCACGACGCAAGTCGGTGCCGGGTATTTTGGGAAGCCTATGTACTTGTGAGTAAAAGCTTGGCTTCTAAGCGTGAAGTTTATCAAATTACTGACACGAGGGGTGAACAGGATCATCAACTTGCAGATGGAGGGTTCCTCCGGTTCGCCCGGCCCAACGAGCAGTAAGTTTTCCTTGCCAACCTATTCACGAACTCAAATCGCTGACAACCCCACCACAGACACGGAATATCAAGTCCGAAACCTCGAGGTACTGAGTTACAATCCTTGAAATGACGGAACGAATGATTCGAGCGAAGCGGCATAGTTCATGAGCACGTTTTGCGCTCTACCTTTTCTGTATCTATTTCATACTTAGGAGCATACTCCACGTACATATCTTTGCCATAGTACATACCATGGATGGCACTGTCAAATGCAGTATTTAGTGACGTGAAGTCATAGACCTACCTGTGAACGTACCGGAGGCTTGCTTGATTAAATATGCATCTACGGCTGTCAGACGTGGATATCAGTCCCATGAGTGGATATTTGGCTTGCTCAGCTACAATGCTGGCCAGCTTTCTCTGCGGCGATCGGCAAAAGAGCCCGTTCATAGTGTAAATACCTTGGTAGTGCCGCTGCCTCCATCGCCGTCGCTATTCCTTATCGTCTTCTTCGATTTTGTCCTTTCCGCCGAACAGATCAACAACCCTTCTTAATCGTCTCGCGACCGCTACATCAGCGGCGGTCCTGAGGTCTTGGTCCTCCCTGTGGGGATCAACGCCGAGCTCCATCAGCACTTGGAAAGACCTCTCGACATCTTCCATCTGGTCCCAATTGACGCCTGTGTCTCTAACATTCCTATCAGCCACGGCGTGCAACAACGTGCGTCCCCTCGCGTCCACGGCCATCAGGTCTACGCCAAGCTCTATGAACATAGCCAAGGAGGTGTCGTGAAATATATCGTGGGCGAGTGCGTAATCAGCGTCGCGTGTTCCCTTCCACCCAGCTGCCATGAAACTGAACACGGGTGTCTCGCCCGAGGCGTTCCGCGTGTTGATGTCAATGGTGATTGCTACGTCTCGAAAGAGAGTAGCCGCATCAGCGCCCGCTGTCTTCTCACCTACCAAACGGGGTGCGATTGTATGGAGTGCCGAGTTGCTTGTTACTGGATCGGACTCGCTCATCTCAGCACCTGCTGCCATGAGGTGGCGGATAGCAAAGGTAGACATCTGAGAACTGTCCTCATACTTCTCCAAGGCGAGATGGATAGGTTTGCGGCCCTTGAGATCCGCCATATGAACGGCGTCCGGTCCGTGGTCTACCAGAGCAACGAACGCTTTCCGATGAGGCTCATCAAACTCGGTATCAAGTGTACAAAACCAATGTAATGGTGTGCGACCCCCATCGTCCGCAAGCAAAGGATTTGCTCTGTGCTCTAAGAGGACGTGGACTGTATCAGTCATTACAGTTTTTGGCCTTGCATCCTAAAAGCACGTTCCTATATCAGCATCGGAAGACCCTCAAGAGGCTCGTGAATCAAAGCACTATATTGGCTGTAAACTTACCAAGTAATGATAGCCGGCTCGGCAGAGGGGAATGCAGGCTGAAGCCAGGAGTGTGCGGTCGCAGCCACCCTTGCGGTTTATGTGCTCCTCAGTACAGCGAGGAATAAACCCAGCAACGAGGCCGCGGTCCTCTATGATACGTTGCAGGGCAGAACTGCCATCTGTGTAAGTGGCCCAAGGATTAGCACCCTTACACAGGAGCAATTCCATGATAGCTAGTTGCCGCTGCTCATAGTCAGCCGGTGAAGAGAAACTATCGGTTGGTCGGGCCGCTTCATGGAGAGCATAACGCGGGTTTGCAAACCGCTTGTGCGCCCCCAACTCGCGATGAATCTTTCTTCTGACATATTCTTCTTCGCTTTCCTCTTCCTCTTCATCGCTTGCACCCTGGTGCTCTGATTCCTCAACGCCCCTGTTGTGGTACTCGGCAATTTGTTGATGGCTGGCCACCTGCGACAGCTCGTTTGGATCCCCACCAGCGTCCAACAGCAGCTTCACCGTCCTAGGCTCCATGGTTTCCTTTATTGCCCGAGCCACCAGCCCTGTGAATTCCTTCATACTTGCACCGTAGTCCAGCAAGAGCTTGACGATACCGGGCTCTCCCCACATCTCCAGTGCGGAGAGGCCAGGCTCCGTCGTACCGTCCACCTTCCTGACCATGACAGTCTCATTGGGGTTGGCTCCGTGTTCCAGCAGCACGCGAACCGCTTCCTCATTCCACCTCCCAAGAGAGCCTGATCGAGTTCGATAGATGGCCGCAAGCAGCGGCGTCATGCCAGTTTTGTTTCGCGCCTCGATGTCGCCTCCTTGGGCGAGAATGTACTTCAACGCCTCAACTTGCCACCAGTGTCCACCTTGAGCGAGGATATGAACTGCTGTTCCCCCGCTCCGGCTATCTACGACATCGACGTCAATGCCAATCCTCTCTATGAGCAACTGGATAATGTGTAGAGACGGGTGAGATCGCTCACAGGCTGTGCCAAGCAACGTGCCACAGAATCCACCTCCTCCTTCTTGGATCCTCGCCTGAGCTCCCAGCTTCACAGGACTATCGCAAAAGTGCCCAAGTAATTCCACGCATCCCCATTTGACGAGGCAATGAAGCAGTGTGTCGTTTCCCTCGGGGCCATATCTCAGTGCAAGAACATTACCCCCAAGCTGAGCATACTCCTTTACGCTGTCATAATCGCCATCCCTCAGCGCAGCGGATAGCATATCTAGGTGGAGAGGCTTGCCATCCTTGAACTCAGTCTGCGCATCCAGGATCGCTTGGCCACCAAGAATAAAGCGAGTTCGTTCCTCAACCGGCGCCGCCCCGAATGCCCAACGGCCTCGCCAGTGCCCATCATGACCTGAGATGCCCTCGTCACCCGGCAGTCTTGCTTGTGATACCCGCGCTTCCTCTACGGCTTTGTTCTTGTCCGTGGCCAGGATGAACTCTTCAGACTGACTGTTCCTGTCACGAATCTTCGCTCCTCGTGAAAGCAGTTCTCTGACCATTCCCCATGACCTTCGTTCTACCGCCAAGTCCAAAGGTGAAACTTTTCTTATCTCGTCGCCATCTCCTGCCCTAATTGTAGTCTCGGCTGTGAGATCAACACCTGCTTGTTGAAGCATCTCAATCATCTCGGCAGCGTGAGTGGGAGCCTCTGGCAGTTTTGCCAGACATGACAAGCCATGACTTTCCGCCATGGCATGCAGTGGTGTCAGCCCCATTTCATCCTCACGTCGAGGGTCCGCTCCGTTACATAACAAGGCCCAGACGCTCTCTGGACTTCCTGATCGGCAGGCATAGTGGAGTGGCGTTCTACCTTCACCGATCATATTGACGTACTTCCCGAGCACACCACGTTCCCGGTATTTAGCTAAAAGCATGACGACAACGCCAGCCTCACCGTGGCGAGCGGCGAGGTGAAGCGGCGAAAGACCAGTTGCAGAAAGCGCCATCGGATTAGCACCAAACTTGACGTGCACACTTGCCGCAACTTCCCCAAGTTGGACAGCAAAATGAAGTGGTGTGAAGCCATCAAGATCAGGTTGGTTGATGTCTAGGCCTTGAAAGTAGGACGCAGTAACAATACGCTCCAAAGTGTGCAGGTCCCCCGCCAGGTGAAGAACTGTCTGCCCCTTCGCATTGCTAACTAGCGGCGAGACCCCAATGTCGACTAGCACTGGAAGTATCTTTTGCGCATACCAGCTGGATAGAGATCTTCTTTGAAGCTCCACAAGTAAGGTATGAATAGGAGTGTCTCCGTCGGCACTCGTGATGGCTGGATCTACGCCTTCCGAGACCAGGAGACGAACCCAATCAGCTGACCTCTCGTGCTTTACTGCGGCGTGCAGCAACGTTTGACCATCGCTTGCACGCTCTTTAACATTGGCACCGAGCCGTATGAACTTTTCGAGGACGTTGAGATCTTCAGATCTTGGCTCCGTGATGGCCCAGAGGACATTTCGGCCCAGATCATCCTTCACGTTAACGTCCATCCCAAAGCTTATCAGGGCTCGGAGCGTTTTCTCGTCATCGCTGCCTGCCGCTCTAAAGTATTTATGCCCACCATTGTATCGTAGGAGAGGAGGCTGTCCTTTCTTGTTTTTTTTGCTGAGACCCACGCCGGCTTGCAATAGCCTCTTTAGCAAAAGTATACATTCTGATTCAGGGCTGCTGAGATTCCCCAAGCAGCCGAGAATGTGGTGGAAAGCAGTGTCTCCGTTGTTGTCCACAGCATTTGGGTCAGCGTCGAGGTCCAGCAGCTTGTTCAAGCTCTCGATGCACAACTGCTGAAAGGACTGATGAATGGACTGGGTGCCGAGGCGGTAAAGAATCTCGAGGAAAGGTGTCCTCCCGAGAGCGTTACGGGAGTTGATATCAGCCCCACGGCTAACAAGCATATCGATTAGCTGGGCCTTACGAGGATCAGCAATGTGCATAGGCGTATTTCCATCCTTGGTCTTCGCCTTGGGGTCCGCACTCATCGTGAGAAACAGTCCGGTGAGAATTTCTGCGGATTTGTTGGAACCGTCCCAGTTCCAACGTAAGTCGGCGCTTCGGAGAGAAAGATGTAAAGGTGTCATGCTCGTGGCATCATCCCAGCCATCCACAGTGGCATTGACATCAGCGCCAGCCCCAACGAGCGCCCGAACAATCTGCTCCGCATCTTTTTGATCCCCCTTGGACAGGCGATATGTTGATCGCTGAACAGCGAGGCCGTGCAGAGGTGTTGGCCCTCCCTCATAATAGCCAAGCCTGTCTTGCACCTTGCTGCCACGGCGAGGCCAGCATCTCTTGTTCGGGTCTGCGCCTCGCCTGATAAGTAGCTCGACCACGCCTGGCCAGCAGTTCGCTGTTGCTTGATAGAGTTTCGTTTTTCCCTCCCAGAGAGAATCAACATCCACTTTATTCGTATCAAGGAAAGTTTCAATGATCTTCTCATCGCTTGCTTCTTGAAAGAACCGGTGGATCATATCAGGTGGAATGAATGGCATGAATGCTTCTATCATATGAGGATCTTCACCTGCGAATGCGTAGCCCAGCGCGGTCTCTCTCCAAGTCTCGACCTTCTCTTCCTCGCGCTCATCATACCCTTTAAGAACTGGGCCTCGTTTAGTAAGGGGGTCGGCGCCAGCATCAAGCAGGAGCTTAACAACGGATAGATGCTCGTTATACACGGCCCAGTGAAGGGGTGTCAGGCCATCCTTGCCTGAAGCGCCTGGATCCGAGCCCTTAGCAAGCAGGAAGCTGACGATTTCGGCTTGGCCACTTTGCGCTGCGTAAGATAGCGGTGTGCGGCCATCCGAATCACGAGCTGACAGGGATTCTGGCCATGTCTTCGCAAAATGATCCAAGACAAACAGCGGTAGTGATTGGTGGTCTCGGATCGCGGCAGCCAAGTGGAAGACGTTGACAGAAGCCGATAATCGACCCCGCCAGCCCATGAATAGCGCCCAATTCTCCAGGGCAGGTTTCTCAGGTGTAAAATAGCGGTCAAGCGCGGTCAAGAGATGGTGAGTAGGACCGCCTTCGGCTGCTCTGTCAAGATGAAAGCTGAGGTTGCTCGCGGCGTACTCGGCCAGGGGGTGACATATTCGTGTGTCAGTGCAGATTTCATCCCGCCTAGCTCTCTCTGAAGAATGGTACGAGTAATTTTCAAAATAAGAGCCGAAGTCCTGGTTTGCGCCCGTTTTGTCGTCAATCGTCATGTCGAATTTTGGGCAGCTATAGAGATATTCCAAGGACAGCACCGCTAGCATGCTGTGTGAGGTCGCGCTATCCAACACCGGAAATCCAGCGAGATCAGCATCGCGACTGACATCTTGTAGAAACTCGGTAAAGGAATGGTGAATCACCGTTACGGATTCATCCTCGAGGACCTCGAGCAATCTTCCGCAGGCAGCTCGGGCTAAATCCTTGCCCTGCCGGAGATCAAGCTTAAGCATACGAGAGAGTAGCGAGCCAAGTTCGATTAGCCGCAACGGCCGGCTTGTATGCGTCACGCACATGAGAATCTTAGCCTGCTGCTCCTGTTCTATGCCACTGCGTCGGGCATGCTCAGCCAGTGCGCTCTCATAGACTCCATGCAGGGCCCGAGGGAGGCGGTCTAGGCTGTCAGGTAGGGTCTCTTCCGTGATGCGACCGTCCTGTAGCCCCTCGACGAGGCTATCTAACACGAGTCGCGCATGGAGGAACAAGCCACCTGCCCGGTCGCAAATGGTCTTCGCCACCAGCTCTTTTTTCTCATCGCCAAGGGCCGGCTCAAAGGTAGCCATGCGGTCGTCGACATAACGAGCGACATCCGAGGAAAGAAGGGCAGGGTCAAGCTTGAACTGCCTTATATGCGGGTCTGCAAGCGCCTGCAATATTTCGGGTAGCGGCCTACTTGTCATCATAACCCGTATCTTCTCAGGCTTGGATGTGCCAAAGGCGACGAGCCGTCGAGCCATATCGCCGAAGTCGCAGTCGTCCATCTCGTCCAAGGCATCGACCACACAGAAGACCTGTTCTCCCACACCTTCCTCAGTAAGAGCCTTGGTAATGGCGGGCCATACCAAGTCCATCTCACAGTCACTGATGGCATGATTCTGCGACAGCGCCATCAACGATGTCGCGAGGGCAGGGCAATGAGGGAGCAACTGCGCCGCAAAGTCACGCACGAGGTACTTTGCTCTATGGTTCTTGTCGACAATCTGACGGAAGAAGAAAAAGAGGACAACTCTGCCTGACTGCTGGAGCCAGTGGATGGTGTTGGCGGCAAGGACAGACTTGCCAGAACCTGCGACACCGCAGACGTGGAGGCATGATGATGCCTTTGGATCTGCATGGACGCCAGCCCAGGCACGGAGGATAGATGAATTTTGGAACCACCTGCTGGTACCGGGAGCGTGCGATCGTAGGTGCTTCATGAAACCATTCCCTGGCGAGAGAAAGTCGGTGGGCTGGAGCCATGCGCAGAGGTCGGCGATGAGTTTCTGGGGCGGGTCTTCGGGTTTGAGGGCAGGGGCTGGTACCAAATCTCGAGTAACGAATTCAAAACTCTGCTCTATATTCGCGTCTTCCATCGTTGCGGCACTATGCTATATCGACCTGGGTACAACACAAGGTATGAATAGGTGACGACGGGAGTATCTCAGTTGGAAAACTGCTGACTTGCTCAGCGGAGAACTCTATTGGAACGGGTGACTCTATCAACTTACCATTAGCTTTGCAAATCTGGAATCTATCGATTGATCCGTGGTGGTTGTGAACTTTGCAGGAGGGAAAGTTGGAAAGATGGAAAACCCAAGAAAGATAGTCTATCGAGACAGTGGGAGTATCCACTAATGCCGTGTATATATACTGTGTGTCCATACCGAGAACCGCCCAAGCGATCAGCAAAGGTAGAAAATATGAACAAATCTGGAATCTATCAGTCTGTATGCCCGACGATTGACTCATCTATAGCGGGATGCGAAAAGTTCGAGTCCGCATTAAAGTCATTGGTGTACTTGTCCATGTATCAATGATCTAGTTTAATCGGCAGGAACCGGAACCCAGCGCAATTCCGATGGACGGTTTTGAAGAGTCTCTTTGTAGAAATTTATCCTTGCGATAGCACATTGCGAGGTAGTCATTTGGATCGATATCAAATTGCGATCCTCATCTCTAAGTACCTTGTTATCGACGAAACTTAATTCTTGTGAGTCACAAGTACAAGAATATAGTTTTAATAAAACAATATAGTACCCACCTAGCACTTGAATTAAAATACTTTTTCAAGCTTACCATAAGAGAAAGATAACTGTACTGCCGACTGCTTCCCATCAGAGTTCGCAACTGGCGCTATGGCTTCAACCGTGATGGCTTCACCATGATGGCCGCAAAGGGTGAACAGTGCGGAATTAGGGGGCAGGGTAGTGTCTACATGTACTGCGGCAATCCTCTAGTAATGCAAAACGATTGAGTTAAACAGTGGCGATCCTCATCTCAGCATATCCCCTCATGCGCTGAACAAAAGACTGCAGGGGCGGGAATACGAACGAGAAGATTGTATAATTGGCTCCTCAACCACGCTGATTTCTAAGGGAACTAGTGGCTGTTTCAGTTATGTGCATGCCAAGCTGGACCTGTCCAACTGATAGCAACGAAGGACGTTAGAAGCTATGCTCCTAACAAACGATGCATCTAAGGCTCTACAGCAACATTCTCCGTCGTATCGTCCCATGAAATTATTGGGATTTATAGAGAATCTAGATTGTCGTTATTGGAAAGCTAATTGCTTGTAACCAGCTCGCCGCTGCCGTGTCAGCTACACGGTATGTCGCCGACGAGATGGGTTGTTCGCCGTTCCTATTTAAACTAACCCCTATTAAGATGTCACGTAATAGGGATAGTAACTGCGCCTCACGAAGCGCCCGTTACGTGCTTTATTACGTGTATATCACTTACATCTTACATATAGACCTTTTCCTTTTATCTATTCCTACTTTAATAAGTTAAGCTACTTTATTACACTCCGTATGCCTATTATTGTGTGCTATAACTCGTGACATAAGACCTCTTACGATCTATAGCCCGATACTTAATTATATTTATAGACTATTTTAATAAGTTTTTAATACTAACGAGCCTGCTCTTAACATATAGTAAAAAACTAGTTTTAATACTCTTTTAATATAGTTATTATTATTATAAATACGTTTATTTTATAACTATTATAATTTAATACGTATAATAAAGTTAGGGCCCTGCCTTATAAAACTTATAATAACTATTATATTATATATATAAAAATACAAACTTAAAATAACTCCTCTTAAAATAAAAGAACTATAAATAAATTATATAATTATAATTATATAATAAAATAAAGAATAAATATTAAAATAAAATAAAATAGATAATTATATATAAATAAAATAAATTACTATTTAGTAAATAGTTAAGTAATTATAAATAATAATATTATACAAAATATATTTAAAACAGAGATTTATATATAAAATAAACTTAAGCTAAGTATAATATTTCCCTAGTTATTCTATAGTAATTACGTATAATACGTAACCTCATATATTTAAATAGCTTAACTATATCCCTCCTATAAAGAGGATAACTATTAAAATATACGTTTATATTACCTATCTTTTACTTCTATATTACTTTCTATATTATTTTTAATCATAATCTTATTTTATATAATACGTCCTAGTTATATAACTACTTAACTAGGCTATAGTCTTACCCCTCTATTAGAGTGCTGTTTATTAAGGAGACTATGTTACTAAGCTCGAAAATAAACTTCTATAGCTTTTAAATAATTAATTTAATATTAAATTTTAGAATTATTTTTAACTATTTTTAAAAACCTCTTTGAATAAAATTATAATTAATTATTAAAACCTTATTTATTTTATAATTTATAAATATAGTTTTAAAGAAATTATTTATAATTATATTATAATTATTAAAAACTGTTTAATTTACTTATTTTAATACTTAATTAGGCCTTTATTTATTATAACTAACTAGTTGTAATAAGGTAAATCAATAAAAGTTAGGGTTATAAAACTAAGTAATAATATCGTAGTTATAAATAGCTTTTTAAAACTATATTTATAAGTCGTAAAATAAATAAGTTTTTAGTAATTAATCGTAATATTATTAAAAGATTTTTAATATAAATAGTTAAAAGCGATTATAAAATCTAATATTAAATTAATTATTAAAAACTATAAAATCTATTTTTAAACTTAGCTTAAGCTTATTTTATATATAAGTTCTATATATTATTTAAATAATATTTTTATAATTAAGACTAATATTATAATATTAGTTTTAAAAAATAGACTATTTTTATTTTATTAGTCTTATTTATAAACTATTTATTATTTATTAATCTTTTTATTATTATATAACTTATTTATAGTTTTTATTTTATTAAAGTAACTTTTATATTAGTATTTTTTTATATTAGTATTTTTATATATATATAGTATATTATAGCTTTTATAAGCCTACGGTAGGCCTTAGTTTTAATTATATATATTAAATCGTAATATTAAGTCTCTTTTTAAAAATCTAGTCCCGTAAACTTATAAATAAGTATTTATAGCCTAAGCTAAGGCTAATTAAGTTATTTATTTATTTATTATTTATAATACTAATACTATATAAAGTTATATAAAAAATAAGTTTAAAAACGAAATTTAAAAAATAAAAATAAAGGATCGTAAATACTTTATACTTCTAAAATTTATTAAAGCTCGTTTAATAATTATTAATATACTTTATATTTATTATTTTTATATAAAAGTTTTATATTAGTTTAGTAAAAATTTTTATTATAAAACTTATATTGAAATAAAAAGCCTTATAATAGAGTATTAATAGTTTTAATTTATAAATTCGTTTTTTATTAATATTCTTTTAATTTTTATTTATTTCTATTTTATTTTATATATTACGTACGTAAAAAGCTTACTTTACATAAATATATCTCTATATATAGTTTCTTTTTAATAATATATATTAGTATATACGTATTTTGTTAAGTTAAAAGTATAATAGTACTTTATAATATACGCAGAGCTTTTATTAAAAAAGGTACCTATATCTAGCTATATTACTAGCTACTTATTAATTATATAGCGCAATACTTAGGCGAGTAGACGATTAGTAATACTATTAAAGTTAGAGCTACCTAAAGTTATGCTATTATAATTTTTAACCCTTTTAATCCGTATTATATTAGATTACGGCGTAATTAACGTACTATAAATATCCTTATTTATAAAACCCTAATACCTTTAAAGTAAATATAAAAGATTTATTAACCGAGCTATTAAATAATAAGTAAATCCCTTTTTCTATATCCTTAAATCCTTAAATCGTTTATTTTTATTATAATAACTCTACTACTTAATATTACGAGCAATATATATATAATAAATAACTTAATAAACCTACTTATAGCTCTTAAGTTTAATATTATTACCCTAACCTACCTATACTTAAATAACCTTATTTTTAGCCTCGACTTTTATTATATCCTTAAGGGTACGTCTTATTTAATAATACCTTATTTTCCTCTTTATACTCCCTAAAAGACGGACTTTTATTATTTACTCTAATTATATTAAAAATAAATAGTATTTATATTAAGTATGTTAAAGCGTATTTAAATAAGTTAAAATTAATAAAAGTCTTTATTTTAATTAAAAGCTAGGCTACTAATAATAATATTATTTTTTATTAATATTATAATAACGACTACCTGCTTTATAAAGGCCCTAAGTATTTAACGTTATTTATGATTAATACGTAGTACGTAATTAGGCTATTATATTATTAAAACTAAATTATATTAATAATAAATAAAGCTAGAACGAGAGGAAAGCGTTATTACTAAATCAGGTTAGTTAGAAATAAAGTCTAGATTATTAAAAGTCGAGTAATAAAATACTTAGTACTTAGTTTAGTAATATAATTATTATTTAAAAAGTTAAAAGTTGAAACGTTAGCTATAATATATAATTTTAAAAAGTTATTAGTAAAGTAGTAATAAGTAAGTAGGTTATTATAAAAATAATTATACTTTTACTAATAATTATTCCTAATAAATCACTATAATAACTAGAAGCCTTAATTTTTTTATAATTTGAAAACTTAATACTTAATAAAAAAATAAAAGTAAATAAAAAGCTTTTAAAGTTTTATAAAAAAATTAACTCGTTTTTAATTATTAATAATTATTATTATTAATTATTTATTTTATATTTAAAAACTTAGAAATTAATATAAGAATATTAAACTAAGACTTTTTATTAAAAATATAAAAGTAAATAAGTTTAATATTTTAAAATCTATATAAAATATTTATAAGTATAAAATAATTAAGGAGTTATAGTTTATATAAGTTTTTAATAATATAAACTAGTTTATTTTTAAAATTAATAATAAGTTTACGTTTTTAAGCTTATTAATACTTTTTAATAATCCTTAAAAATTATTAAAAATTTTAAAAGTTTATAATAAGTTTTTATATATTTTTTTATATATATTTTTATTTAATTAAAAATTCTTATATTTTATTTTTAATTTTATAATTAATAATTCGTTTAATTTTATATTTTAATTTATTTAGTTTTATAATAATATAATTCTTTATATAAATACTCCTTAATATTAGTTTAAAAATAAAATATAAAAACTAAGTAATATTTTATTATATTTAGGAGGTTTAGTTTATAATAAAT